TTCTTTTTTGTAAAGAAGTCTAATTGAATTTTAATAAAGATAGAGGCATGGCCTCACCTTTGAAGATTAAAAAAAAATAAAATAAAATAAAAAGATCTAATAAAATTTAATGTATAAATTTCTAAAAATTTAGTATACAAATTTGTATACTATATGGTTTAGAGATAGTAAAATTATCTGGAGAAGGAGAATAAAATTAGAAAAGTCTGCACGTGGCATAGCATTACGGTTGGCCACTGTATCAATGGTTGAACTTGTATAAAATTGAAAGTATAAGTATAATGTGAATTATAATAATGATATTTGAATATATAAAATACGTACGGCAAAAGCGCTACAACTCTAGTTCTTTTTGGTAATCCACTACCTTCAGCCGATAGACTCTTTACAAGTTGTTGGACACCAGCCTTTGCAACTCCGTAGCCAATGAACCCTAAGTCCGAGTAAACAATGTGACGATTGAATAAATGTAAGAATAGCTAATACAGCTAATTTAAAATTGATTAATTGATTACCAGGTGTGCCTTGCAATCCTGCAGTACCCGTCAACATCAGGAAACCATCTCTGTTCAAAATAACATTAGATTTAATTTATGTGATATTATGTGAAAAGAAATATAAAATCTTACTCTTTCAAATGGTGAGTTGCTAATTGTGACGCGACTAGCGATGAATAAAGAGACTTTCTGATCATCAAGTCAGACTTTTTCAAAAATTCTATTACATTTAGAATTTCTTTAGATATAATCTTAATTTTGACATCTATATCCGAAAATCATATATTCCACATTAACCTTTATCAACCAAATTTCCCATCATAAAGCCACCGGCTACACATAAAATTGCATCGTATTTTTCGGCATTATCTGATTTCAGCTGTTCATTGCTTTGGTTCAAAACCTTTTCACCTTGAATTTCCAAGGGATCGTCAACAGGTATAATTATATTATGGGTTGCGTCAGAATTTTGACGGGTACCAACAGAAGTAACCACCTAAAGGATTAAAAAAAAAAAAAAAAAGAATTAAGATTTGAAGATTTCGAGATATTATAATAAATATTTTACCCATTTTTTATTTTTGAAAAAGGAAACTAATGCGGATCCTAATTCTCCAGAACCACCAAAAATTAAAACTCTTGAAGTCATCGTTTTAAGTTAAGCAAAAGACGCATTTGAATTTTTTCACACGATTTATATATTAAATGTTTAGCGTTAACCAATCGTATTTCTAGATCATGTGTAACATAACATGATCGGAAACTATAAATTCTGAAATTCGCGTTATTTCTGTATTTAGGATCCTGAGTCCACTCTGGGTTGAACCCAACCCACATTGGAGTAGGTTTAAAAATATTTTTATAAATTTGGAGTAGTTTGGAACAAAGATTTAATTTAATGGAGTGGGTTGAAGATTGAATCAACCCAACTCATTAACAACCTAACGTTGTTAGGTTAGGATTAGGCCTTGTTAAAAGTTAGCGTCAAAAGGCTGTCGTTATAGCAAAATTTCAAGAGAAATATTTTCTGTTAGCACGTAGAAATTTTAGGATCAATTAAACGCAAAAGACGCAAAAGGATTGCAACGAATCAAAACAATCTAAAAATCACTCATGTTTTAAAAAATCCACTTATGAAACTGCTTTCTGTGTACTAGAACAAGTTTTTTTTTTTATTCGAAAATTTGATATTACAATAAGTTTTTTCTAACTTAATCAATAGCGAAACTTAATCCTAGTATAACAGCGAATTTTTTTTTTTTTTTTTTTTTAGCGAAACTTTTTTAGGAACTCTAAGAAAGCAAGTTTCATAGGCAAAATTTAGGATCCTGAGATTTAGACTGGTGAAACAGAGAAATGAGAAATTCCGACCTAAATTTTTGATCGACACTTTAGTCAATCACAATTGAAAATCTGCGTGAGATAACTAGGGTTTATATTCTGAGGTATTCCGCGGCGATTAAGATGAATTTCTATGATTAGCTAGTTTTAAAAAAAAATTCCGTGAAACACAGTAAATCATATTTCCTGAATGGAGGTTACATAGATACACTCTTACTTATTGTGAGGGAAAATGAGACTTTTGGCTTTCAATTTTATTATTTACCATATATATGATGCGTAATATATATGTAACCGATAAGATTTTTCGTGAATAAATGATAATAAGCTTGAACACAGTAAATACTAGGGATTGGAATCGGTTTAGTCGACTATTATGTTTAGTTTACTAATTAGTCGACTAAACATAATAGCAGGATTTTGTTTTTTAGTCAATTAAACCAATTCCAATCCTACGCTCGAGGATATGAGTGCTGCGGCAACATTCATATTTCAAGTGAGATCATATTGTGCAACTCTGATGTCATATCGCGCGAGGTACAATTACCAATTTAATTTGTCACTCATCGAGGAGGTGTTTCAAAAAACTATGGAATACAATTACGGGTTATCTGTCCCTTCCGCCTTCGTG